TATATATATATTGGCAAGCAACAGACATTTACTGGCATGTGTTTGTATTGATATAAGAAGATTATGAAAGAAAAGTGAAGAAATTTAGAAAGATAGATAGATTGCTTGTTTGGGTAACTACCAGCAGGAAAATCAGTTTTTAGATAATGCATAAGACAAATGCACATGGTTCTACTCTTCCAAATCAAGAATTATGGCCTACTACCAGCCACTATATAGCTAGTACCTCAAAACCTGACTAAACTACAAACTTAATCAATAACCTTATCCCTGCTTGATATTCCTTTGGAGAAGTAATTTCATGAAAAGAAACTGATTTTTTTTCTTCTACATTCACCATTACTACTGGGATTCATGTAGACCGAAAAGGTATGACTAATAGATTATAATATAAGTCCATATATAATTCTAAAAATATGGATCTTTTTTCCATATGCCTAAACCGTATACAGAAGTAATATACATTGCTTGGGTGAGAGAACAAATATTTAGTAAAATAATCGAGGTGCATACAAATTACTACAGTTATCAAAAAAGTTATAACTTTTCCTTGATCATAAGATTTTCAATATCGTGTTTTGGCTTTCTTGTTCTTTTCACTTCTACTTATGTTGGTGCAAGGCAATAGTTACCTAGTGATTTTTTTTATATAGGGTAAAATTTAATAGTTACCTAGTGAAAAATTTTTTTATAGGGTAAAATTTAATAGTTACCTAGTGAAATAGTTGATAGGTGCATACATTGACACAAATACCACTAATATCAAAAAATAGTTATATCACTGATCTAGGATTTTCAAAGATTATAGTGTGGTGAAAAAGAATAATGAATAAAGGGAAAAAAAGAAGCTAAAATACGACATTGAAATAGTTAAAAATTAATAAATGGTAAAAAAAAAAAAAAGGACTATAAAATAATAACAGTTGTTAAGTAGAGGACAAGGAAAAACATAAATACACTATTGGTCAATTCAATGATTCCCTCTCTTCTTAGCAATTTCCTTTCTTAGTCTAACGATAATAAAATGGAGAAGGATTTGGTTATTATGTTCAGACGAAGAGGCCCACAGCTCAAAACAGACACTCTAACCACAAGCTAACATCATGGAATCTCATTTTCATAAATATTGCAACAATTTGAACAATCCCATTTGTTTTCGTCTATTTTCCGCAGACTTTTTTCATTTATAAGGCGTAGTTGCAAATTATAACACAAATACATATCTAGTTTTATAAGATAATTGTCTTTGTCACAAATATCGATTAGAAAGTACCCGAAAAATAATCCAACTTCCTCCAAAAGTAGAATAATCACACCTACATGTGGATTTCGAGCCCGTCACTCTATCATTCTCTACTTAAATACAAGATTTTTGTATGCGGTAATTATCGAATGCGTGATATGCACCAAAGCCTTGGAAGTTTGGCGAGCTGAGACTTGTTATGTTGCTGGAACCAATTAGGATTTGGTATTTCCGTATTCCTATATTGATTAAAGAATGCGATTTGGTAAAGCTGCCTTATGTTGAATATACCAGCAGAAGCCCGTGATTATTATAGTTGATGGTCGCGGCAGTGGTTTAAAAACATATGGAGGAGGCTGTACCAGAGAAGCGAGTGACAGCGTTGGCTTTGGTCCTTAACTGTGATGGATATTTTCCAACTTCCAAAAATTAAACATATTTCTTCCTCAGACTTTAATCAAAACTTTCATTAATTGGGAAGAAATTATAAAAGTCACAAACAGATTCTCATCTCGCACGTTTTTCTGCTCTCCGAGTGTAACTAGTGTTTGATCAAAAAGTGTTAAGTTTTTTGTTAAACTAATTAATGAGGAAATAAAGGGTGAATCCTAATTAGATATAATAAGATCTAGATTAAAAACTTAGACAGATCCGTGGAATGAGATCGCGTTTAAGAGTAATAAAGATCAGGCACGTGTTCAACGATTATCAATTAATGTTGTAATAAGAACATGCAATAAATGTACACAATGGCAATAAATGTAATAAAGAGAAATTTATCACCCAAATGTTAGATGGTTTGGGTGATTCTTCCTCCCCTTTACAAGTGCTCTTATCAAAAGGTCAAGATTCGTTCTTTTATCTCTTCCTATTTATAAGGATTATCCCAAGAAACCCTAAAAAGTACAACATATAGAATATCCAACGGAATATTCCTTATATCTATTACTAAGCTATACTACCGTTGCTTCCTTTACCCCTTTGCTTGACCTCGGCAATAATCCTTCTTAAGACGACTCCTCGCTATTATGTCGTGGTTGGCTCTGTCCTTGACCATGTTTATTTGCAGTTATCAAACCGCCCAAATTTAAAACAATACAACTAGCAACTCCGTCTTTTGTAGTTCACAAATGCCAGTGATTTGTTAAGATGAATAATTGATATTTTATATGATGAAAAAAAAACCAATCGTTAAATTCAAGAGTCTAAACATTATTTCCAATAAAACCTTTCCAATTGAAAAATAAAATAAAAGAGGACTTCCAATAGAAACACAACTTCTAACACCTTTCAATAGAGTCAAAATTGCTGAACTCGGCTAGCAAATTCAATAGTGACTTTACTGTAATAAACAAATGGGTGAATAGTAGTACAATTTTGGACAAGGATCATAGCAGTAGTGCAAATTTTGGCTGCAGTTTCCCTTATTCACAAGACGGACAATCATAATCATTAATCATACTAAATTCGTATGGACCACGATTGAAGCCTCTTGAATTATAAACTCCATGCCAAAAGCCTTCTTCACGAGGCAAACAGGATTATCATAATAAATTCATATGGTCCATGATTCAATCAAAATATGATCATTTTCTGACACCAATCACCTATATTGAGTTCCTCAAAAATACACGTATAATTACATCATACATGAGCTATGAAATATCATGGCACAACAGCTTCTCATAAAGGCAACAAATTCTCAATAAATGTTACAACGAAGCATAAACTCAAAGAGAAGACATCTTCACTTAATTTATTCGATTTTTGGGTAGAAAAACAAGAAAACACCTATCAAGTTAGGTCAACAAACCAAAGATATTACATCTAGTCTACTAACCAACATTTACTTTTTTCTACCACTAACTTATAATAACCACAATCTATATGAACATAATCAAGAAAAAAGAAAAACCCTTTAAAATTACAAATCGTAAATTTAATTTAGATTAAAAAAAACTCAACTTTATTATACATACAGATTGATTGCAATTGCTTCCCTTGTGATTTACTGTTGCTCAATGTCTGGTAAAAACTCCCCATAATTTGCCTCTACCAAGACAATCCAAGAGCTTTTTTGCACCATCAATCTCCATTTCAGCTAACTTCTGCAAATGCACACAAGCCCCTGAATCCACCATTTGTTTGCGGCATTTCTTGGAATACACAAGCGAAGCCAATAATGAAACAGGATACCTTTTGTCTAAATTTTGTACCAATGGATCTAATAGCTGAACTGCATTCACAATACCTCTTTCTTCCTTCCTAAAAATCTTCCTATTTCCAGCATATACCATTAAATTCGTCAATGCTCTTGCTGCTGCTTCTCTCTCTTCTACAGCTTTACCTTCGATCATTCTCACTAACAGAGAAATACACCCGATTTCGCCTAGTTCTTTTCGGGTTTTAGTACTGTATCCCAAATCGTAAATTGCTTTAGCTGCAGCAATTCTCACACCTAATACCCCACAATTCAGAACCCCAACAATCCGAGGTAAAAATTCATTTTCCACAATAACGTCAGCTACTGATGGACACGTAGCTAAAGTTCTCAACATAAGAACAGGGGCCTCTAGACTTTGAACTGAAGGAGCTGAATCCCAGAAATTTTTTATGCTTTCAATTCCACCTTCCCTAGCCACTAAGAGTTTCATGTTGTTGTCTCTTGAAATCAAATTACACAAACACGAAATTGCATTTTCTTGGGCTAATGCTGTACCAGAAGTGGATAACCTTAAAAGTATCATTATAGCGTTTTCTTCCATGAAATTCTCTTTAATTTCTGGGAAAACGGCTAAGTTTTTAAGCACGGAAGCTGCCATAGCTTGAGAATTGGGTGTTCCTGTTTGACAAATTTCTAATAAAGATGAAATTCCTCCTCTTGACCCAATTGCCCTTGCATTCTCCTTTGTATGGCCCAATGCTTGTAAAGCTACGCATGAATTTTCTTTCCCTAACACGCTACCAGATTCGAGAACTCTGAGGAGATTATTCAGAAGGCCTAAGCCTTCAGCGATCAAAACATGTTTGCTGGAATCAACGGTGGAGATTTTAGCTATGGCAGTGACTGTTTTCTCCTTGATCTCAGGTGAAGAGCTGGAATCGAGTAAGCGCACGAGCACCGGAACGATTCCCTGAGCTACTGCAATTAATACATTTTTGTCGTCTTCTTGTAAAAGCCCAAGCAACGAGTCTAACACCGAGTTTTTCGACTCAGTGGTCCCGATCTGAAGCCGAGTTATCAGATTCCTCGATTCGGCCCGAATACTCTCCCGCTTTGAGGTTGTTGTTGACGAAACGGTACCGTTTTCATGGAGGACCCCACTCTTAATTAGAACCTCTAAATCCCTAACATGGTTATCGAGTTTCGCTGAAACTGAGTCGATGTCATTCTGGGTTTTGAGTTTGCCGTCAGGTGGGTTAGCGGAATGGCAAATGGAGGAGAGAGAAAGCGCGTCGGAGAGAGTGGTGGAGAGAGAGAGAAGGAGGTCGTTGTAAAGAGGATTATTGGAAGCGTTAATGGAAGCAGCGAAAAGGTCTGAGAGGTGAGATTGAAGTGTGGAGAGTTTGGTTCTGATTAAAGACCATTTTCCTTTAAAGCTTTGAGTGTGGGGAATGGAATCGAGAAGAGATTGAAGGAGCTGGGAATTAGAGTGAATAATGGGATTAGTGGGTTCAATGGGATCGTTTTCAGGAGTACTCTCGTTTTCAGGTACTTTCATGGCGGCTTTTTTTGCACAGAGAGGAAGAAAAGAAAAGAAAGAGAGAGAGAGTGGTTTAGGGTATTAGGGGAGGGAGGAAAGTGATGATGAGTAAGCAGTGTTGGGTGACAGAGGTAACATGAAAAAGAATTAGTATATGGGAAAAATGGGAAAATAATGTAATGTTGTGGCGTCAACTGCGGACGCAGTTTCAAGTGCGTGCTTTTCACATTCCCATCTGTTAATTTTCGACGATATTTGGTTGGATCAACTCTGTTTGTCACTATATTAGATTCCAACAAAGGGAAAAGGTCCAAATTTAACCCTCTACTTAGATATTATTTATATTTAACCGCCGTTTTTATTATTCAGCTAAATTTATTCCTACCATTATACTATTCGGTTAAATTTATCCTACCATTAGCAAAATTTTAAAAATTACCCCTCAATCCGTTAGGAAATTCAAAATCTCCCAAATTCCTTTTATTTAAATTACTTGTTCTTCTTCTTAATCTACTATTTTCAGAAATTACTATTAAGGTGAATACTAAAGGTACTAAACTATAAAAATTATTCATGGATATCTTTAATTACTATTACACCCACCTCTCCTCTTGTGATAATGGTTTTGGAATTGATCGAAAAGATTTATAATTTTTCAGCCATATACACACTGCAGAATTTTGTGGGTCTATTTGTTATGTATTTTATGTGGCTGCTCATCATGTATGTACATATACATTTGAATATATTTTGTAAATTGTCTAGTTAGTATTCGATTGACTAATTTAAGAGTGCACAATGTGTAGGCATTTGATTAAAGCAAACTTGAATTCGATAATGCAAAGTCACCAAGGAAATCAACTACTATCAATAATACTTGCAAAGTATTATACCTTTTTTGTGGAACGAATTCACTAAAGCTGAAGTATTGTAAATACTTTTGGAATTTAGACAAACTACCTAATTTAGATTCTTTAATTTATTATACTTTGTTTATTAACCGTCGTATTATTTTAGTATTTCTTTCTCTTATTTCCTTATTCCAATTAAGAAAGCCGATAAATACCAAGTATATTAAAAATAGCGGATCAAGAAGAAGAATAAGTAACTTAACTAAAGTGATTTGGGTGATTCTAGGTCTCCTAACAGAATGAGGGGTAATTTTTATAAGTTTGCTAATGGTAGGTTAAATTTGGTCGGATACTATAATGATAGGGGTAAATTTGGTTGAATAGTATAATGGAGGTTAGATTTAGACAATATTCAAAAATAAGTAAATGTAGACCTTTTCCCTTCTAACAATTAGCTTCAGTAATATTTGATATACCATTGTATACTACTAGTATTGTACAACATATATAAACTTTTTGTTCTTCCTTTTTCTTTCTTATAATGGTCATTTTCTCAGACCAAATAATGCATATCTCAATTATTTCATTGAGTGCATGTTACTGATAACTAATACAAATACAAAACACTCTATTAATTATAAATGAGATTTATAGTTTTTCTTTATCTCTGTTAGCAAATCCAGATATATTATAATTTTTCTCCCACTATATTGACTACTGAATTGTATCCCTGAATACCATTTTATTCTTCCTTTTAATGAAAGCTTCTCATTAGGAACAAACAAATAAACAACAATCCAATAAAATTCCACCAGTGGGGTCTGGGAAAAGTACGTGTGCGCAAACCTTACTCCTATCCCAGAGGGAGTAGAGAGGCAGTTTTCGGGGGACCCTCGGCTCAGAGACAATAGATCTGTGACAACAAAACCCGAAAAATATTATAAGCAACGTGAGAACCAGCAAATAAATGAAAAGGCAGTAACGCAAATATTTTTATGCAAAAGTGTGAAACACAACATAAATCACTAGCAGAGCTAGACAAAACACTATCATACCCGTCGGTACAAAGAGGGAAATTGGGACAAAGAGGAAAACCGCTCGACTACTCGTTAACCTACAACCCTAATGCTCGACCTCCACACCTTCCTATCAAGAGTCATGTCCTCGGAAATCTGAAGCCGCGGCATGTCCTGTCTGATCACCTCGACCCAATACTTCTTAGGCCGCCATCTACCTCTTCTCGTACCTGCCAAAGCCAACAGCTCACACCTCCTAACTGGGACATTTAGGCTTCTGCTCTGCACGTGTCCGAACCATCTAAGCTGCGCTTCTCATTAGGAACAGTGTTATTGATAAAATCCATACATAATCTAGGCAACTAACCCACACCACTTAGAATTAGCTAGGGTAGTTAACCACTCCAGGAAAGGGACGAGGAGGAAGTGGACATCCCAAAGTTATCTCCTTCCCTATTCTATAGTGAACTTAGGTAAGATATTCCCTATTTTGTTGCCATTCCGGTTTTAAAAATAACAATCACACTAATCCGCAGCATATCTAAGAATTTAACAACAATATACCCTAAATTTGTTCACAAAATTGACTAGTGATTTTTTCAAATGTTGTATACGAACTTTGTTCACCTGTCATTTTTTATAATCCTCTTTGGTCATCCCATCTTGTTGTTTAATAGTTGGTGAGGGAGAAGTATATTAGTAATCTATTACGACAAATGAGGATAACATTCTCAAATTAGGGAGCCACCACCTTTTTTGTTTTCTGCTCTTTTCAAAGAAACACAAAGGAGAGAAACAATGCCGAAAGGGGAACTTTAAAAAAGAAAAAGAAAAAAGAAGGAACCAGGAGAGAATGTGGAAATTCTTTCACATTTTGTTTACCACATTGCATCAATGTGCTCAGACTTTGCCTTTGAAAACGCAACAAACAAAAGACATCATTTGCTTCTAATATCAATTGATCAATGTATCTTTAGAATTTTTAAATGGGATGCACCCTACAAAGAAGTCATTTTGTTGCGATGAAGATGTCTTTTAAAAAGGTTATTCACCTTATATATAACTCGAAAGTTTAGTATGAAATTCGTCTTATAATTGTATATTATGTTGGTTAATTCTTTTCAACTCGGCTCTCACTAAGCGTAAATCTTGATCACAAAAACTAATGTAATGTTATAAAGGACATTATACAAACGGAAAAGCATTTCACTCTTTCAGGCAGCAAGAGGAAAATAAAAAGTAGTACATATTTACTTGGTAAATAAAGAAAAATTTAATTACCCAAAAAAAAAAAGTAACGTGGTGAGGCACACGCGCCTATGAGCTAGAGTGCAACAGGAGACCGTGTAATATACAACTAAAATGGCCTTGAAAGTCGAGCCAAAAGTTGGTCAGAGTCTGACAAGAGGTTAAAAGCACAGTCCTTGCTGGGCCCCTTTAAGTAGTGGGCTTTCGGGGGCCCAACCTTTCTAATAACCCGCCACTTTTTCCTTGCACCCTAAAACCCGCCACTTTACAAACGTAATGACAGGTAAACTAGGAAAGTTTCCAAGTCATTTCGCGGTACCATCTCACACCGGTGTGTGTTCACACTTCCCTTTGCTACTTTTGTTGAGTCACTGAACGTGAAGAAATCTCATTGGTTGGGTTGATAATGAGAAAGAAATTTATGGATATTCGTACATCTGTCTTCATGTGTCCCAATTTCTTTATGAGATTTTTCTCTTAATTTGTTTTTAAAAAAAGATATATTTTTATATTTAAAATACTTTGATTTAAAGATTTCTTATTTATTTCGAGTGACATTTTCTTACAGATATAAAAATGTTGTAGTAATATATTTTATAACAGAAGTTCTAAATAGTTTGAAATGACTGAGAAATATTTCCTTTTTCATATATTAAACTTCTTGTTCCGTCAAATAAATTCAAACAAGATGAAAATGATAGAGTAAATAACACTATCAGAAAAGAATAGTGATGAAAGAATCAATGCAAATAAATTGTGATGGAAAAGGAAAACTATGAAAATAACAATTTTTTATTAAATCGTTACAATTTCGTTACGCTTATGTACAAAATTCCATCCCATATTCGTAATTTTCTCGTAATGTAAGTGATAATAAAATATAAATATATATCATTTAATCATATCAAATAATAATTTTATTTTAAAAACTTACATGGTGCACTTATTATTTCTATACTGGTACAAGTGCACGTAATTGTAGTTTTATCTTTACCTAAAGTATTTACCCCGTCTCGAAGTTAACGAGCGGGAAAGGGTAAGAAAAAGTGCTAAAGAGAAAAGTAAAATTTTCGCGGGGGGAGGCTGGTGGGAAAAGTGATAATAAGGGTAATAATGAGAATTCATAGAATTAAAAAGAAACTGAAAAGCAAAGTGCAAATTATACCTTGGAAAGGTGCGAATTAAAAAGCTTTTAATGAATCAATGTAATGTACTGCACCCTGCACTTATAGCTTCCTCTGCGATTCTACTATTTGACTAAAACTAGAAAAATATATGGACCCACGAGGAGACTTCTTTTTTACAGTTACTTTTCCTTTTAGGTGAAAGTCAAAATCTGAAATCCATTACTATCTTTGAACTATTCCGTGACTCTTTTGTACATTTACAAATATGTGTATAAAAATATTTAAATTTTATACTTAAATAAAGAAAACAGTAGAGAAAGTATAATGATACTTCACTCACTGAAAAGATATAATACTAAGTAGGCGTTTGGGAGTAAAAATTATAATTTTAAAAAAAAAAAATAGTATTTGAAGTTGAGTTAAAAAATTCTATTTGTAATTTGAAATTATGTTTGAACATGCATTTCGCTTGGAAAAAATTATAGTTTTGCTAGAGGGGAAAAAAGTTCTTCTGAAAATTTTGAAAAAGTGATTTTCTGAAAAACTCATTTTCGAAAAAATTTCAAAAAATTTGCAAAATTTCGTGGACAAACACATTTTTGAAAAAAAAATTAAAAAAAGGAAAAAAATTGTATGGATAACGGGCCTAAGTTTTTAGATGAAATGGTTCACACACTTTACCATAGTAGAGCAGAGAGAGATCTAAAATTCGCGTTTTGCTGCCACTTATTAACAATAGAGGTAGCCATGTAGGAGATCCAATTAACGAAAAGATTAAGTTGCAGCTAAGGGTGTTCAAATCGAACCGGAAAATCGCACCTAACCGAAAAGTCAAACCAAACGATTAAACCCAACTAGGTTTGGTCTGATTTGGTTTGGTATTTAGTAAAAAAATTCGAACCAAACCGAC